ACACCATGCATGCCCAGGTGCCAGACAGGATGAGACCTGCTGACAGGAGCTGTGGCTGCAGGGGCAGCTGTCCCCACATCCTGGTTAGTGTAGGGGTCCAGGGGAGCTCTAACAGCTCTACAGTAAGAAAACCAAAAGCAAACAGCAAAACATATAGATATTTAGAATTCATTTTAGTATGATGATAGAGACACTGGTAGGCTTCCAAATTGCTTTAACATTGTAAATATATCAACAAAACATTGCCCAATTGATCTCTGACTCTGTCTCTCTCTCTTTCGCACTCAGTGTAGGGGTCCAGGGGAGCTCTAACAGCTCTACAGTAAGAAAACCAAAAGCAAACAGCAAAACATATAGATATTTAGAATTCATTTTAGTATGATGATAGAGACACTGGTAGGCTTCCAAATTGCTTTAACATTGTAAATATATCAACAAAACATTGCCCAATTGATCTCTGACTCTGTCTCTCTCTCTTTCGCACTCTATATATCTTTTGTTTTAATTGTGGAAGAACATGGATTTTGAGGTATTTTACAGAGTGGCTTTGGGATTTTTTTTATCTGGGATTTTTCAGTTTTCAAATAGGGAACTCCAGAATTCCTGCTAGGGAGGCAAGTGGCAGGACCTGGGCAGAGGAGCCTGCTCAGAGCTAGCACCTTGAACCCAGCTGGAGGTGGCTGACCTCCTGGCCAGTTGGCCAGATGGCCAGGCAGGGGGCACACATGGCAGTAGTGTTGCCCGCCTCTCCAGCCACAGCCTGCTGGCAGCTGGCCCAGAGGGGCAGATGCCTCTACTGGCTGTGTAGTCCCCATCCAGGCATGTTTCTGGGCAGAGCACCAGTGGGCAGCGTCCCCGGGCTTCTTGGATACCTTTGAGGGCAGGTGCACAGCAGGTCACAGTCAGGCAGCAGCCCCCACTGCCAGACTGCTGCAGTGGGTAGAGAATGCAGGGAACTCTCAGCGCTGCTTCAGCAGTTCAGCTGAAGGTGTAATGTCCCCAGGTACCAATTGGCTGCACCCCAAAAGCTCCTGTCTATTTGTATCTTCCATATTAATGTGGACCTTAAGGCCCGCCCAGTTAACTAATAGCCCCTTTGTGGGACCAAAGGCTGAAAGATGCAATTAATTCCTTGGGACAACAAAAGCAAAAACAGAATAGAAGTGACATGGGGGGTCAAAGGATTAAAACGTGAAAATAAGTTCTCCAGAGGGGGACACTGAGCAGAGACCCCCCAGGGCCGCACCCACTGGCCTTCAAAGGCATCCAAGGAGCCCGGGGATGCCACCCACTGGTGCTCTGCCCAGAAACATGCTCGGACAAGTGAGAGGAAAGTGGCCCCACAGTCTCTGGGCACCTTCCCAGCCAGAGCCTCCTTTTTTCAAGTACAGGGCCCACTTTGCCAGGAGGAGGTTGACCGGGAGGTCCTGGGACTTGGTGGGGCCATTGATGGAGTGACCAAAACCAAAAAAGTGGCACGTGAAATTCAACCAGAACTCAGGAGGAGGCTCTGGAGGTAGAGGTGGAGGGGCAGCAGCCTGATGCATGCAAGGGTCATGTGCGCCAGGGTCTCCTCTGCCCGCAGAAGGGGCAGGAGACCAGGGTGTCTGTGAAGCTCGCCACATACGCGCCCGTGGTGACAGCTCCAGGGAGCTGAGTTCCCCAGTGGCTCATGGGATGAGGATGGAGTACAGCCTCAGCCACTGGAGTGCCCCAGCTACGCCCTTGCCAAGCAGGACCCGCCACTTGGTGTCTGGGCAGGATGCGAGGATGGCATGATGGATTGTGCAGTGCGCAAACATATAGAGGTGGTGATGATGGATGGTGGAAAAATGAAGCAGTCTGGTACCCTCCAGCCAGCTCAGGTGGTGGACCACAAGGCCGGGCATGGTGCCAATGCCACTACAAACTCCGGTGGGCTGGAGGACGTGGGGAGTCAGGGACTGCCACCACGTAGGACCTGGTCAACAAAGGCAAGGACGTCAGGAGGTAGGGTAGACTTCACCTCCTGGACCAGATGGCAGGTCGCACGTGTTGTGGGTAGACCCATGCACTGGGCCAGTGTAGCGGGGTCCACCCACTCCTGCCTATTGTAGTCCTGGAGGTCTCCAATACAGGTGACACCAGCCAAGATCAACCTCGGTCGCAACCGGGGTGCCTCTGCTGTCGGCTCCTCATAGAATCATAGGGCTGGAAGGGACTCCAAAGGATCATTGGGTCCAGCCCCCTGCATGAGCAGGAAAGACATCTGGGGGTCAGGTGACCCCAGTCAGGTAACAGTCTAGTCTTCTCTTGAAGACCTCCAAGGGTGGATGATTGCACCACCTCTGGGGGGAGCTTGTTCCATAGTCTGGACACCCTACTTGTGAAGAAGTTTTTCCTAATGTTCAGCCTGAAACTATCTTCCAGGAGCTTGTAGCTGTTGTTTCTAGTTTTCCCCCAGGGTGCCCTGGTGAACAGTTGAGGCGTACACTCTGATGTATGTCTCTGATATAGTGGTAAGCTGCAATCAGGTCCCCTCTCAGCCTTCTTTTCTTAAGGCTGAAGAGTCCAAGATGCCTCAGCCTTTCCTTGTATGGCTTGCCATGCAAGTCTCTGATCATATGGGAGGCCCTTCCCTGGACCCTCTTGAGCTTTAGCATATCCTTGTTGAAATGCAGCACCCAGAACTGGATGCAATACTCCAGCTGTGGCCACACCAATGTTGAATAAAGCAGGAGAATCACTTCTTTGGTTTTACTGGAGACGCATCGATTTATGCAGGCCAGAGTTTTATTGGCCCTAGTGGTTCCTGTGTTGCATTGCCGGCTTATATTCATGCTGGGGTCTGTTGTTACCCCTAGATTCCTTTCATTTGTAGTGCTGGTCAGGTTAGCATTGCCCAGCCTGTAGGTGTGCTGGGGGTTCTTTCTTCCCAGATGCAGCACTTTTTGCATTTCTCTACATTGAACCTCATCTGGTTCCCTTCTGCCCAACATGCCAGCCTGTCTAGGTCTGCTTGTATCTGCAGTCTATCTGTGGGTGTGTCCAGGCAACCCCATATCTTGGTGTCATCTGCGAACTTGACCAGTGGGCTTTTCACCTCCTCATCCAGGCTGTTGATGAAGATGTTGAACAGCATTGGGCCAAGTACTGACCCCTGGGGTATGCCACTGCCCACATCTCGCCAGAACTACACTGATCCATTCATTTGGACTCTGCGTCCTACCCTGCAACCAGTTTCATACCCACTTGACAATCCCGCATTTGAGCCCGATATCCTCCAGTTTTCTGATCAGTACCTAATGGGACACCAGGTCAAACTTTCTGGAAGTCGAGGTATATGATGTCAACTGCTTTTCTCTCGTCCAGGTGATGAGTCACCTGATCATAGAAAGAAATGAGGTTGGTCCAACATGACCTGCTCGTGACAAAGCCATGCTGGCTTCAGCTGGGGGTTCCAGAGAAGGAGCTCAACAAGCTGGTTGGCACCCTGGGCAACTGCCTTAGGGGACCTGGAGGTAGAGACCAGCCTTCAGGCTGGAAAAAGGTCCTAGTAGAACTCTGGCAGCCCTCAAAGGTCCTGTAGGGAGAAGCCTCGAAGGCCGAGGAGCTGCCCCCAGAAGTGGCAGAGGAAGGCACACCAGCCTCATGTCACATGGCTACTGACACTGTATAGCAGTCACTGCAGGGCCTGAAGGCGGAATGTTAGGACCTGGCTGCACAGGCAAACCAGGTCCTGGCCACTCTCCCACAGGGGGAGGCTCAGGACCTCCACAGCAACCCAGTGCCATCCTGGCCAGAAAAACTCCAGCGCCCATCTCTGGAGCCCTGCCTGGACCTCAGGGGGCATAGGCAGGGTCTATAAGCGGTGCCAGAGCATGGACAGGACCAGCTGGTTCAGCACCAGCACTCTCCCACGTAGGGAGAGACACCTCAGGAGTCCAGCCCATGCCTGGAGCTGCTCCACCACACTTGCCTCCAGCTGGTGCCAGTTCTCCAGCAGGGAGGGGTCTGTGTGGGACAGGTAGACCCTCAAGTAGAGCAGCAAGCCCGTGCTCAACATGCCTTCCTTTTTGTTTCAGATCTTTGTCAAGGGTTAGATTTGAACTGCCATGGGGAGTAGGTCACTCTCAATGGTTACTGAATATTCCCTTGAGCTTCTGAGCTCACATGAAAGCTGGTAGCCCAGAAAGCCTTCTAGCTACTTAGTTCATGAATGCACACTGTAACTCGTTTGTTTCATGAGCATGAGGCACATGGCTATCTAGACAGTGCCACTCCTTTGAGTACACTTTTGAGTTTTGCTTCTTCTGAATGGTAATGGGTGTTTATCCACCAGTTGGTGCACCTTTCACTGGGGCACAGTCAGGGTCAGTCTGAATTCCAGTTTTGCACAGAAAAATGTGTAGCAAATGTCAACATCAAGGAAAGTTAATTCTTTCAGGAGCTGGGTTTTGGAAACCTCTTTACCTGAAGGTGGAGTTGGGAGAGTTTGGGAACTAAACTAACCATATCCTAATCAGGAGGTACACCTAGGCACCTGGATTTTTAGAGGATTTAGAATTAACCATAATTAGAAAGTATAACAGAGTTGGTTCTATTCCAAGAACCAGAAAAAAAAAACAAAGAAAAAATGGTTTATTTATTAGGGTCCTGAAAAACTGGCATGCCAGCCCAGCCTTTGACTTGAACTGACATGAAATAATACCATTTTACAAAAGCATGGGCCAGATTCTCTGCTGTAAATGGGCACAGTTCCAGACGCCTCTGTGGAGCTACATACATTTACTGCCACCAAGATGCTGGCTTTGTATAGAAGCATAGGTGTACAACTAGATTCTGGCTGACTCTCTTGGTGACTTTTTAAATTTTAATGTGAAGTTTGACTTTTTGGGTATTTTTCTTAATTTAAAATGTTACCTCCTGGCAGAAAAAAGGATAATGAGAGAGGTGGGATATGGCCTGTATATGTTAAAGGCTTATCTTTCATAAGAGAACTTTTTAAATACCTTTTGCAGGTTTTTCTTCTTACCATAAACAAGACTTCTATGCAGGCTGTCCTGGATTATCTGTATACCAAGCAGTTATCATCAAGTCAGGAGTTGGACACACTTGAATTAATTGCATTGGCAAACAGATTTTGCCTTCCTCACTTGGTTGCACTTGCAGGTAAGGAGTCTGCATGTTGGCAAATGCAATGTCTCTATGAACTCCTAAAATGGTGCTTAGGAGTCTTTGAACACCCACACTGCTTTCATTGGAAATGTAGAGGGAAAGAAATGCTGTTCCTTCATATAAAGGCTGGTTGTGATGCAAGTTGACATTTGCACTAAGAAAAAACATGCTTTTCTCTCTTGTCTCCATGACTTGTGCTAAATAACTCAGGCCATTATAGTGTTCAATATTGTAGAAAAAGACATTTTCCTTTATTAATAACAGTGTCTTACTATGCATAATGCCTATTCTTTTATTCTTAAATCACAGCAAAACAGTACAAATGCTAAGTTTACCATTGAAGTGAACAAGGCACTCCTTTATAAATACATACTGAGAGAGTCTTATAACTGAGCCAATTTAGAATTGATCCAATTCAGTGCATCAGATCTGTTTTTACAGCAGAGATTAGACTCAGTTAGTCAGCTGTAGATGTGGGGATTCAACATGTATAATTTTAAGAAAATCTACTTTTCCACCTTCATTTTAGACAAAAATGTCTGTGTGAAATAATTTAATGATTTTAATACTAAACTTCTGGATATTTTTCTGTTTCCTTGAGGAGTATGGGAATAGCTAAGATGAAAATGAGACAAAAACTATGAGAGACAGGAGGAGTCAGTTGTACCTGTTGACAAGCTGTCATTTCCTTAATGTTGAGTACCTCATCTCCTGAATAGCTTTCTACTGTGCGGCAAGACACAGTAGAGGAGTCGGTTCCACACTGGTTTGGTAGTTTTAGTCCATGTTAGTCCCTGATCCTGCACAAGTGTATGTATTGGGCCCTCATAATTTTTCTGAGTGCTCATGGCACAGACATATCCTTAAATATTAAAAATATCTTTTACTTTTCTTTGAGCAATATTTATTGTGGACCCCTAGTGCTATTGACAAGGACCATACACTTCAGTCTGGCAATGTTTTTGGTTCAGGTACCCATCCTGTTAGCAGGATACGGGCTAGGTGGGTCTGCTGAGTCAGGTGGTTTGTTGTGTCACTTGGATACAAGAAAGGTGAGCGATTGTCCATTAGCAAGAGGGGCCTATTCTAGGGGCTGAAGACCCTAACTTAAGAACTATAGGAGTAGCCAGTCATGAGAAAGATGGCAATGAACTTTGCTATATTACTGGAAATGTTTTCATTAATAAAAACTAACCCATAATGAATGGGGAGAGGGCAGGAGGTTTTGATTCTCTGTAGTAGATTGATTTTGGTTTACAAGAGGGTTTAGAGGAGGGTGGGAATACATCTGTTTAGAGATAATATTATAGGTAATGCAAAGGCTCAAAGGTTCTGTTAGAAGGAATCAGAAACGACTACTGCAGAAATATAAGTATACCCTATGAGGCCATTTCTTTCTTACTGATTTATGAACCAAAGGAAATCTGTGTATCATTTTGAATAGCTGTAGGTTTCAGGCTGATCTGTGGGTTAAGCACCACGCTTTTGGTACTCTGTTTTGTTGTCTGTATTAAGAATTGCAGTCATTCGACCAGGTAATGATTTGTGGCTGTATATTTTGGAAATTCCTTCCTCTCAATTATTACTTATGGAAACCTAGAATAGAATGGAGAAGATTTTTGTTCTCAAAACACACTGTCGTATTTTTTGCGCTCTGATAAATATTTGTAAATTATTTTATGCTAAAATGCATATTTTTATTGTGTCAATTATTGGTTTTCTTCTTTAACAGAACAGCATGCTGTGCAGGAGCTGACAAAAGCATCAATGAATGGCATTGCAATAGATGGCGATGTACTCTCCTATTTGGAATTTGCACAGGTTAGTAAGGACTGTATTACAACCTTTTAAAAGTTATTCTTCCCAACTGTAGTACTATGCCAAAAACCTAGTGGGGTTGAGAATTGTCCCTACATAAAATAAAGGTTTCCCAAAGGACCCCTGTGTCCAGGGAAAAGAACTGAGCCCCCCCAGTAGTATCCTACTCTGACTTCTGCATCTTCATTTTTAAAACCTAATGATGGATTATAAAACTGCATCTTAGCATTTTAACCTCCTTCGCAAAGGAGATTTATTTTCTCAATTTGTTAAGAAATCAGTCTCTCTCTATAGAGACTTATCTGTGTGTCTGTCCTTTTAGTTTTTCTATATTGTAGTGAAGTCACCCAGGTAGTAGAGCATTCACTACTTAATACCGTCTAGTACATTAAAGTCCCTTAGCCTGCTTACAAACATTCTAGGTATGTCCCCATGTGATAGCCATTTGGGCTAAATTTCACTGGGTGTTTTGTTTCGAAGCTGTTTTGAGCTTGAAACAACAAAATCGAAACAAAACTGAAGGCTTTGAAACAGCTTCAAAATGAAACGAGGGCACTTGGAACATTTCAAAAGTTTTGAAATGTTTCCAGTTTCGAAGCTGGGCTTGCTTGGCTTCAGTGGCGGTCCCAGCTGGTAGCGGCAGCCTGCTGTCATCCCACGCACAGGTCTGGGGGCCTGTGCCCCTCAGGAGGAGTCTGGCACAGCCCTGCAGCTCTCCTGGGGGGGTGCAGGCCCCTGGATCTGTACACGGGATGACAGCAGGCTGCCGCTGCTGGCTGGGGCCAGCGGCAGCAGCAGTCTTCCCGGCACTGGGCACGGATTGCACCCAGCACCAGTCCTAGGCAGCAATGGGAGCCTCCTGTCATCCCATGCACAGATCTGGGGGCCTTCACCCCCCAGAGGAGTTCAGCACAGACCTGCAGCCCTCCCAGGGGTGCGGGCCCCCAGATCTGCACACAGGATGACAGGAGTCTGCCACTGCCAGCAAGTGATATGAGTTTTCCTTTCAATTGTTTGAGGTACAGTTTCCCAGAAACCTCTGCACCTATCTCCTTGAAACTTGGCAGGCTTCATGCCCTCGGAAGGGGCTACCATCCCTGCAATTTTTATCTGAATCAGGCAAGAAATGACAACGTTTTTAGGCATTTTCATGATTCCCCATTATAGCATACATGCGAAATGGTGCAGCAGTTTTAACAAAACGAAATGGAACAGTGCTTCGAAACAAAACAATGAAACGAAACACTGTCCCTTCAAAATGGCGAATCGGAACTTGAAATGAAACAATGCTGTTTTGTACAGCCCTAATATCCATGCCCCTTAAATCTCTTCCTGTTAGGGTACTATGATTGTAGTGCTTATGGTAGGAGGGCAGAGTTGTTAGTCATCTTCAAGGTAGATGTCTTCCTTTGTGGCTCTCAGTGAATGCCTATGACACTGTTTTATTCAGGTGTGTTGCTTCTGTGATTGCCTGAGCTCTTAACACAAGAGAGTGTTCAAAGATGACTACTTCTCTTTAAAATATGTGCCTTTGTTTTTATAAATGAATGTTGCAATACCCAAGGAAGCAATGTAGTGGAAAGAGATAATAGAACAATGTGTTTTCAAATCACTTTAAATATGCGTGTTGGCTCCAGCTTGTGCTATTATACTCTTGTTTTTGTGATCAGTGTATTGTACAGACTGATTGCTGTATGAGCTTCATACCAGATGCTTTCAATACCTATAAAACTGTTAAAAAAAAATTCTGATCCCCTTCTGAGTTTGTGAAGTGTGTGTGTGTGTGTGTGTGTAAGCCGGATATAGAGATACATACAAAATCCAGTTACAGTTTCTTCTCTGTGCTCTGTACTGTAGATCAGTGTGATATGTTTATAATCCTAGAAGATCACAGTAGGCTACCAAACTGTCAGATAGATGGACATACTCTACAAATGTGACTTGCATTATAGCTGTAATTCCTTTTGATTAAAAGAAGTATTTGCCAGATACTGTACTGTGCTTTCAGTAATGCTTAAGTTTTGGCATTAAATATACTCTGGAGAGTTCTGCAAGGTGGAATGTGTAGTAACCATTAGGAAAATCTGACTGCTGCAAGTCAAAATTTAAGTGCATAGAATCATAATAAGGGTCCAGTCCTATGAAGCACTGACTGTGTCTTGACCAATGGTGACTGTCCTAAACTTCTATGGAAGTGCAGCAGAGTTGAGCATGTACATACCTCTGTGGAGGTGCTCAGAACAATACAGGAAGAGACGCATGATTACCCCACTTCTTACTGTGCCCCAGCTGCTCCCAATAACTTCCATTTTGGCCACTGTGTGATGAAGTGGGTTTTTGTGTCAAAGAAACAAATAGTACCCCTGACTCAGTGAGGCACAGCTCAGTGAATTCCCTCTGAGCAGCTGCTAAGTGTCAGGAGTCACACCGTGATGCCCAACATTACCTAAATCTCTCTCTATACTATTCAGAAGCCCTACCAGAATGAAACAATGAAGGATCACTCTCTCCTAAACTTCTGGTTTTAGTTTGGAGATGATCATGTAATTCAAATTGACTATCTTTCCTTGCAGTTCCACAATGCTAATCAGCTGGCTGCGTGGTGCTTATACTACATCTGCACCAATTACAACAGTGTTTGCTCCAAATTCCGTAAAGAAATAAAAGCTAAATCCGCAGGTAAGATCATCCATAACTTCCCCCCATATTTTTGAGACCCATCTTTTTCTTTCTATCCTTTAAAAATAAAAAGATGAACTAGCTCATCTGCCTATGAAGCTGAGCCAGTGCTCTCTCCCGCCCTAGCAGAGTTAATACACTCTCTTGAACAGGTGACCAGAGTTTGAGTCCACCTCATGGGCCAAGAGTTCTGCTTAGAATTCCTGTCATCTGCAGTTAAAAATGATGTGATTGTCTCTCCAGAACTCACACTGAAAATGCTGCCCATGTTTAGTTTTATTTCATATCATAAAACAGTGTAGTTTGCTAAGTAAGTCTCTTCCAGCTGATGCTATCCCTTCACTTTATAGGTATTTAATTAAACCATAGCAGCATTGCAGGTAAGTGTCAGTAAGCTATTTTAAACAATGGTTAAGCTGAGGCACGGAATGGAAAGTAGTTCAAGGTAGATAAAAGCCTTACATACTCAAATCTTGACTCTGTCTACAGCTATGTCCTCATTTTAGAACCTAAGTTATCTTATCACTTTTTTAAAATCAGATAATCAGGAATATTTTGAGAGACACCGCTGGCCACCTGTGTGGTACCTAAAAGAAGAGGATCACTACCAGCGAGTTAAAAAGGAAAGAGAACAGGAAGATACTGCACAGAATAAACATCATTCAAAACGGAAGTGGTGCTTCCGGAATTCCTCTGCTGTAGTTGCCTGAACAAAGAAAATACATGGAAACACTTAAAGTGTAATTATATAATTATAACACTGCTCTAATATTAGTCTTATTGTTAGAAATAAGATGTAGCTCAGGTTTCAGGCACTGACTTCATTCCACGTGTGTGCATTTATTATTGTTAGGATCAAAAGCATAAGCTTACCTAAAGTGAGCCTGGAATAGCTCCTTAAAGTCATATGTATATTTTTGGTTAATAAGCAAAATAAGCCTCTACCATTATTACATTTCTTTTTATACAAAAGCAAATCCAGCATTCATGTTTCAAACTCCAAATTGGGAAATATTTTTATACTGTCTTGTGTATTTTGTTTAAATAAAAATTCTGGATATTACTTTATTTTACAGACCACAAAATAACCATATAATGCTTTATACTTAGATTTTAACTGTTTTTCCTTTTTGATTAGATAGAATCCAAATAGACAATCCTCAGTCTTTACTGACTGTTTTTAAAGTATCCAGTAAAAATGTTCACCTTTGTTTGAAAACCAGTTTTTGTTCCTTAAGTACCATACACTCATAATACAATTAGATGGTTATTTCTTCTTTCTAAAGTAAAGGAGTGTTTAATGTTTGTTCAGCTGAATAATAGGCAGTATAATTACCTGTTCAGCTGCAGGAACATGTATTTCTAATATTTGCCATGTAAGTGCAAATAATTATGGTTGTATGGAGCATGTGAAATCTAGTGATTCTAAGTATTCAGAGGTTTAAAATGTCTAGATTCAAGAGGATAATTTTAAAATCATTAGAAGGGTGTATTATTTTATATCTTTATCCAGGGTAAACGCAGTATGGACATGAATACAAGGAGAAGTTCTGTATAGTATTTGCATTACTGTAGTACAGTTGACTTTTTGGGTTTTTTTCTTTTTCATTTGAGTGTCTGGGTCTGCAGTCATTCCTCATGCAGAATTCCTTTTGGCTTCGTGGAGAGTTATATTAATGAAAAGGCAGCAAAACCAGGGAGGTACTTTCTTCTGTTGTAGTATCAGTATTTTGTAAATGAAGAATGATCTTTCCCATACAAGTTAGTTTAGATTTGGTTAAAATTATTTTGCAGCTCTTTGCAAGTGGAACTCAAAATTAGATTCTGTATTTTAAAGTAGGTTGTGTGTTCCTGTTGCAGTAGTTATTCCAGGAAAACACAAAGTTGAAGATACAGTGAATAAAAAAAACCCTGCATTTTTGTTTCATTGGTGAAAAAAAGCCTTCAGCATGTTCAAATATCCTTTTTGTTTATGATTGTCTAAAGACCAACTGTTGCTTTGTACTTGTAGTATTACACTAGAAAATACAAGGATGCGAGAGCTTTTTAAATGACCAAACTGAAATTCTTATAAATTAAATTATAGAACATACATTCCCAGTCCTATATAGTGTCTCAGGCATAGTTCTGTAACCGTGGTAGTATTGTGTATTGGATTTGTTATTGATGTTTCCAGCAGGCAACTCAGCATACTGATGTGAAAAGCTGGGTTTTTTTCTTGTATTCAAAGGCAAAGTAAGCTCAAACCCCAGTACCATGGGTTAGGAAAGGCTTCAGACTGAAAGCCATACACGCCTCTAAATATTCAGGTTCTAGACAGAGCTCATTCCTGACAGATGCTATCCTAGAGTGCTAGAAGTTGCTTAGCATCGGTAGAGAGAGATGCTGCTGCAGAAACTATTGTAAAGAAAACAAGTGACAGACTCCATCACCTTTAAGATTTATCACTATACAGTGATAAAGAATGGCTATGAAGGAAGGTTGGAAGTCTACCCACATCAATTCTTGTGCAGTGGTTTTGTAAATTGTTAGGGAAAGAATGAATGAGAGAATAAATATCAAAACTATGATGGAATTAATATCTGTTCAGACATAAAATGTTAACATCGTCATTTAAATAAATACTGCTACTAGGTTTTACACAACCAGAGCTACTTTATGATTGTAATCTTGCCAAACTATAATGGATATAAAAATGAACCTGGGGTATATGCAATAATATCCACTTGTACTAGTTATCAGCTACTATAACCAAGTGGCTGGCTCATTTGGTTAATGCTGTCTATGGCCTTTACTCTTGGTGTGGTTATTTTGTGTTTTTTTATTTTGCAAAAAAGTCAATAAAATTGTTTAGCTATAAAATGCCTTCTAATTCTTTGAAACTGCTTTAAAGCCTGTGTAAAGCACCTAGGTTTTAGTCTATTTGTTAACAGTAATAATGAAATATATTTAACAAAATTGTGTACTAAATCCATGATTATATGGTATAAGAAAACATAGGTTTAAAACGTTGCAAGAAGAGCCTATAGCATTTGTACATATGACGCAGGGAGGGAACTGGATGTTTGTCACAAGTATATAACAGTGTTTTCGTGGTGCTTTTTCATGCAGCTTCTAATATTTTAATCACCAGGCCAATAGCCCTGGGATATAAAATGAATTAGATGTGACCAAAAATGGGGGGAGAGTAAAACAGGTAGGCTTTGGGAAGGTTTTTTTTTCATTGATTTTTTTTTAGGTATACAATAGGCTTGCTAAATAAACTGCATACTTTATTAGCTTCCCCTGGCATTGGTCTTCAACAGCCAAGCAGAAACTCCAATTAAAAGTTAAGGAATATGCAGCAACAGTTTCTTTTTTTGTATCTGAGCTGCTAAATTGACAAACCTAGGGAGTTACAGTTTTAGAGAACTTGCAAGATGATGTGTGAAAAATGCCTTGTTTATTTTTTTTTAAGCTATACACCAATGCCAAGGACATTGAAAATAATCACTTTCAGTACTCAATGTACTTTCTTCTTCTAAAGTGCTAATTTATGAGAATGCTGCATAATTCAATGATTTGGTTTATTTTAAGAAGCAAGACTTTCTTCCCATGAATTTACAATTAGAATTCAGGTAATGTATTCAGTAAAAGAAGAATAATGTAGCAACAGAGAGAATGCTACTCATTTGTTTATGTTAAAAACAGCAATGTATTAACAAAACCACTAAAGTATCTTCCTTTATGTGTGCATGCTTAACTTACTGGTCATTTAGACTCCAGTTTGATAGGAAGTCACAGCCAGGATGTTTATCAGGTGAGACTTGCCTCTTGGTATTGTAGAACTAATTTTAATTGCAGATTGAGCGTGGTTCATAAATCAACCCATTTTGTAGGCTCCCCCTTCATAAGTATAAGAGTGGGCTTTGGGGCTGGGGCTGTCTTCTTGAACTCAGTGGCAAAACTCACATTGACTTGAGCAGAAGAAGGCATTCTGTAAGCAAGGCATTGGCAATGCATAGGGGGTGCACAAGGTACAGTGCAAAGGTGTCGGATAAATATGGCTACTGTGCAATAACTACAGCTCATCTTCATTTCCTCTGTATCCTGAGACTACTCACCAATCTATATTAATTAAGTTAGAATCCCATGATTTTACTGGACTTTGTTAGGCTCCATGTTCATAAAGGTGGGATGGAGACATATTAAATATGTAGATATCCTAATGGGTATGTTAGAAAAGAAAGTAATCCAAACCTAAGGTGTGGGGGAGGGGAGCGGGTAGAGTTAAGCATGGACTGATCCTTACAACAAAGATGGTATAAAAATGGAGGAAAAAAGCCAGACTGTTGCTTATCAGAGTGTTCAAGCATGTTTCCAAAGTGTTAACATTAGTGATTCTGTCTGGATAAGAAATTACTATTGGTAGGGAATGTCCTATTTTTAAAACAAGCATTTTCCAGATTCAAACTGAGCATTGTCAGATAGAATGAGACGACTTGAAAAACCCTGTACTATAAACTAACCTTTCCTCATTTCACTTAGAGCATTAGGTAAAGGTCTCCTGTAATGGATCATGTCCATATTAACATTTCAAACTTTTTATAGCAAATACTTGAGATCCTTTCTAGGCTGCCTACAAACCATTAGCTATGAAGGGAACTTGCAGCTTTACTGTCAGGCAAAAATTGGGCTTTTGTCCTTACTTCATTGTGTGTGTGTGTGTGTGTGTGTGTGTGTGTGTGTGTGTGTGTAAAGCTTCATATTTGAATGGCCAGTATTTATCTCTCGTCAGTTATATCAAGATATGTGCTACGTAGTCAGATTCCTTTTAACTGTGGTTGCTAGATTTCTTCATTTACTTAAAATAATTCAGCAATTTTCATTATTTTAATAAGTCCAGTCCTCCTGAGGCAAAATCCCCCAATGAAATTGATTGTGTCCATCATTTTGACTTTAAGGTACCAGAGAGAGCATTTATACATTGCAGCTTGTCAATAGTGACACAGAACTGTCAACAGAAGTTTGGTCTGTGCATGCAGTGCAGGATCAGACAGTGCTGTACCAGCAATAATCCTCATCCTGCAGGCTGTACAATACAATAATTCATTATCATTTTATATGTGCCTTTGCCTTCAGCAAAAAGCACATAATTCATATCACAGATTACTTTGAACTGAAAATCACAATGGTGAGGCTACTGCATATTAATCCATGCAAGTCAGGTCACTCACTACCACTCTTTCAATAACATTTAACACTCTGGTAGAAATCTGTAAAACTCTTGGAACAAGACTGCAGAGAATTAACAAGAACATATGAAAAACAGGTGATGCAAAATGATTGTACCAACAAACCCAAGGACTATATAAAACTGGAGAAAGACAAACTGAAAAAGAGTAAGATGTGATTCAGGCAAAGAGACTAGTAAGGGTTCATAGAAATTTGCTATTTCCTTTCAATTGTGGCATTCCTATTGCATGTGTAAATAGGGGTGCATCCACACCTGCAGGCACATGCACTTGCAGCAGCTCAAATAGAAGCAGTGCAAATTTGAGCCGGGGCTTTTTGCCTCAGCGCACGTGCTTGGACATGCACTTTGTTGTGGAGCAAATTGTGCCACTTGGGGCAAAATAACCCTGCCTGGCTCCTCCCAGATCTGCAGCCAGGGGGAGCTAGAGCCCAGGGCCAGCACCTGTGCTGTCCCCAGCAGCATAAAAAGCTGCCCTGTTCTGGCCCCAGCAGTATAAAAAGCCACCCTGGCAAAGTAGCTTAGGGCTACTAGCTCTCAGGAGCTTCTGGGGCCCAGCCAATTGGTACCTGGGGACACTACCCCTTGTGCCAGCTGGACTGCTGAAGCAGCCCTGAGAGTTCCCTCCTGCACCCTTTACCCACTGCAGCAGTCTGCTGCTGGGGGCTGCTGTCTGGCTGTGACCTGCTGCACACCTGCCAGACCCAGATGGGGACTGCACAGCCAGTAGAAGCATCTGCCCCTCTGGGCCAGCTGCCAGTGGACTGTGGTTGCACGGTTGGTCTCTGTGCAGCACTACTGCTATGTGTGCCCCCTGCCCGGCCATCTGGGCAGCTACTGCCCGGAAGATGTTCTTAGTGTGGTGGCCTGCTCTGAACTGTCAAAGCATGTCCTCCTGACCCCATTTAGCCAGGAGGTCAGCCACAGCCAGCTGGGTCCAGGGTGCCAGCTCTGATCAGGCAGGGTCCTGCCACTTGCCTCCCTAGCAGGAATTCTGGTGTTCCCTATTGGAAAACTGAAAAATGCCTAATTAAAAAAAAATCCCAAAGTCACTCTGTAAAATACCCCCAAATCCATGTTCCTCCACAAGTAAAACAAAAGACCACTACAAAGAGAGAGAGAGAGAGAGTGAGACAGAGACAGCGATCCGTTGGACAATGTTTTATTGATATATCTACAGTGTTAAAGCATGCCTCATCAGAATAATAAAGTGAACTCAAAATAAGTTTCCTGAATTCATGAATACATGAATATATATTTTGCTGCCCTCCCACAGGGGGTTTGGCCCCTACACTGGGGTTACAGCCCCCCAACAGGGGGTTCGGCTCTCCAGCAGGGGCCAAATGCCCCTACCCCCACAACCTCAGGCACCATCACTTTAAAGAAGAAGAACAGGGGGGAAAAAAGCCTCTACTTCCCCCCACACCCCTGCTTCTAGGGTGCTCCAAGGCTTCCTGGCAGAGCCCGGGCTGGGGCCACTGGGTCTGTCCCTGTGCCCTGCAGTGTGCGAGCAAGGCCCCAGTCAGCCAGAGGGCAGCTGAACTGCCGGTAAGTGCCAGGGAAAGGTTTTTGTTTTTTTAAAC